TTCACTCCAGCAAAACAAAAAAAAAATACAACTTCAATCTTTTGCTCTGCATTTCACAACATTTCAAACCACTTTTGTAATAACAAAAATCATCCTACTTACTAAAACCTAAAATCGATGTTTTGCTTTTTTTCAGTTTCAAGCAAAAAGTCCAGAAGTGGTTTCCAAGTAGAAACAAAACTAGATAAATTCTTCTCTTTAGTTAAAATAGTCAGTTTTGCCAGCTCTGTTACCTTTACCATCCACTCTTCCATTGTGGGAATTAATGGGTTTTTCCATGAACGAATGAATGAACCTTTATTATCAAAGTATAACATGTATACAGTGAGATTGGCTGAGCCTCCCTCCCTCGGCCCCCCCCACAACTCGCAGTGACTACAAACCCCCAACTTATTATACCTTGTGAGCTAATTGCACAGCACACCAGCCTCGCGAGTCTGTCATGCATGAAATTATTATGTCCCATTCAAGAGCCTGACAGCCCATGGATGAAAGCTGTTCTTCAGCTTGTTGGTACCGCTGGCTTTTTTTCTGTATCTCCTACCCCATGGTAGGAGAGTAAAGAGATACCGACCAGGGTGAGAGTCATCCCTGAAAATTTTCCTCACTCTACCAAGGCACTGGGCCCTGGCGATGTCATCCATTGGTGTCAGGGAACAGCCCACAATGCTTTGTGCCAATGCTTTGTGCCATTACCCTCTGTAATATCTTCCTGTTCACAGCTGTCAAGCCAGCATACCAAACCACAATACAGTAAGTAAGAACACTTTCGATAGTAGACCGGTAGAAGAGGGTTATGAGTCATCGTTCTACCTTGTTCTTCCACAAAACCCTGAGGAAGTGGAGTCTCTTGTGCATATAAGATTCTTCCTCATGTCAACATACCATTTTCCCCGAAAATAACTGGAAAATAAGCCCTAGCATGATAAGACCCAGTCTTATTTTCGGGAAAACACGGGTATATGATAACAAGGTTCCATTTTTTTTTTTTTTACATTCCTTGCATATCAAACTGGAGCCCTCCTATTTCAAAGAGGATGCATTTGATTTCATTTTTTGAAAAGTGAGCATAACCCAATCAGCCTACTTTGTTTTGGATAGCTCATTCATTGAACATGAGTTTGGATGTCTAACATTGACATTGTGGGGTCCTTGGTGTTCTCTGAGCTTGCTTGTTTTCTTGGAGATGTTTCTTTACTACAAACTAGGTAACGTCATCAGTGCTAGAAGGGAATGGGGTTCGATCTCTGTTTATATACCAGTGCTGGTGGAAATATTCTTGGTGGTTCCTCAGTTAGGCTATTGTTGATCCCAGAGTTCAAACTTGAGGTACAAATAATTTTCTATTGGTAAAACATTAACAATGTTTACAGTTAAGTATTTGGCTGAATATTTCTCCTCCTGATGTCCAATTATTGAGGATTCCCCCCCCCATTCTACCCATTTTATATTGTGTCCAAGCACCCTGCAATCTTCCTAATCCAAAAAAGGCTCAAGGAAGGAATTTTAGCTTGGTAGGCTCTTAGCTGGCTTCATAGAACAACAGAATACTAGTGGTTCAACTTGCATGGGTTATTTAGGAAAACATATGAAGAACGGTTGCAGGAATTGAGTATGTGTAGTTTAATGAAAACAAGGACTAGGGGTGACATGATAGCAGTCTTCCAATATCTCAGGGGCTGCCACAAAAAAGAGAAAGTCAACCTATTCTCCAAAGCACCTGAAGGCAGGACAAGAAGCAATGGATGAAACTAATTAAGGAGAGAAGCAACCTAGAAATAAGGAGAAATTTGTCCCAAAGGTGCTTTTTCAAGCTTTTGAAGAGCTGAAGAAGCTTCTTGGATGAGAAGCAAAACATCTTCAAAGAAAAACAAGAAAGTCCAGTTGCCTCTTGAAAAAGCACCTTTGGGATAACCATGACCTGGATGACTGAGAATCTCCATACATAAGGAGAAATTTCTTGACTGTTAGGAAATTAATCAGTGGAATGACTTGAATCCATTTGTCTGAAATAATATAGGGTTTCCTGCTTGAGCAGGGGGTTGGATTTGAAGACCTCCAAGGTCCCTTCCAACTCTGTTATTCTGTTAACTTGTAGATATCTGCTGGCTGCAGGAGAGAAGCAAATGACAGTGTGAGTCACAATGCTGTCATGCAAATGATGAAAATTTTGTATTCTGTATCAGGCAGCATGCACTTGATGGAGATTACTTAATTACTGATGCAATGACATGATGAATTTCTCATCATTTTGATATCATTGTGACTTACATTGGACACTTATGTCTGAGTCTGCTTTGATTTATTTCTGATACATTTTTTGGAAAAAAAATCTTTCAAATTGATTGAGAACTTTTTCTCAAATGTGAAGTATCTTTCAAAAGACAGTATTGGGGAAAAGGTTTGGAAGGGTTGATTGCTGGAAATGGCTTGTGAAGTAATAGTTTTAATACTATCTTTCTCCCTTGTTAAAATTCATCAGCTGAATCAGTGCAGATATTGCACATTGTGAAGTGCAGATAGTCCTCAACCTCCTTGAGTGACTGTTCAAAGTTACAACAGTGCTAAAAAAAAAACAACTTACGATCATTTTTCATGCTTACAACCTTTGCAGTATCCCCATGATCACTTGATCAAAATTTGGACCCTTGGCAATGGCAAGTGTTTCTGATGGTTGCCGTGTCCCAGTATGATGTGATCACCTTTTACAACCTTAACAACTGTGTTACTAACTTAGCAATAATTATTTAATTATGAATCACTTAGCAGTGATTCATTTAACAACTGTGGCAAGAAAGATTGTAAAGTAGGGCAAAACTCACTTAATAAATGTCTTGCTTAACAACATAAATTTTGGGCTCAGTTGTGGTCATAAGTTGAGGACTACCCGTAGTCAGCTCAGATATCACCTATCAGGAGGCAGCATCATGTTGTTTGGGTTATGACTTTTTTTTATTCTCTCCAAGCAGGACTGATTGCATTCCACCCCAAGAATCAACAAATATTTGCTGGCCAGTCAGATTAGAACTGGAGGGAGCACCATTTTGTTCTTTATTTCAAATTAAAAAATAGATCAGGATGGCTTTTCTGGACTGCACACTAAATACATCAAAGAAGGAAAAATGGCTAATGAAAGAACATAAAAATAATATTCTATAAACCCCACAACCAGTTTTAGAAGTACGTTGCTGTACTGTATATGTACAGTCATGCTATTACTTAACAAGCACAAGTGAACCCAGAAATTTGGTCATAAGTCATTGTGACCTTTAAATGGGACGCTGGGTGATCTCACTCAATTTTATGACTATTTTATGACAGTCATAAAGCGAATCATTGTGGTCATTTAAAAAAATCAAATAGTCGTTAAGCAAATCTATTGTCCTGAATGGGTGATTTTTGTTTTTGCCTGAAAATGCTTGAAACCTGGAAAACCAGTCACAAAATCCATCACTGACACACAGGATGCAGCAACAGGTTGTAAATGTAAGCCAGTTGCCAAGCAGCTGAAATGCTATCATGTAAATCGTCATCCACATCCACATGGAGAGAACTAAGCAGTGGGGTACCACAAGATTCCGTCTTAGGCCCAGTATTCTTCAATGTCTTCATAAATGACTTAGATGAGGGGATTGAAGGGGAACTCATCAAATTTGCAGATGACGCCAAGCTGGCAGAAATAGCCAACACCCCAGAAGACAAACTTAGGATCCAAAAAGATCTTGACAAACTTGAACAATGGGCCCTATCCAACAAAATGAGTTTCAGTGTGGAGAAAAGCAAAGTTTTATATTTAGGCAGGAAAAACCAAAGGTACAAGTAGAGATTGGGCAAGACCTGGCTCAAAAACAGTAACTGTGGGATGGACCTTGGAGTCCTAGTGGATGATCACTTGACCATGAGCCAGCAGTGTGCAGCAGCCATCAAAAAAGCTAATACAATCCTGGGTTGTATAAACAGAGGCATAGAATCAAGATCACATGAAGTATTAGTACCGCTTTGTAAAACTCTAGTTCAGTGATGGCGAACCAATGGCACGTGTGCCAGAGATGGCAGTTGGAGCCCTCTCTGTGGGCACATGCACTGTCACCCCAGCCCCACCTCCTCCCATGTCCCCCTCCTCACCAGCAGCCCCCCAGAGGAGAGTCGCCCCTGGGCATGGCCCACACAAAGCAGCGCAGCCAAGGACATGGTAGCCAGGCAGCGGGGACAAGACTCCGTCCTTGCGCTGCGTTGTGCGCAGATGATGCTGTGGGGCATGGGCGGAGGGCGTGGCTACCATGGCACTGCTGGGCTGTCTGGGTGATCTGTGGCGGGCTGAGAAGGTGGTGGGTGGCCCAGTGGGCATGGCGGAGTGTGGACGGGGTGAGGGAGCAGTTTTTGGGCACTCGGTCTCTAAAAGGTTCACCATCACTACTCTAGTTAGATCATACCTGAAATACTGTAGCCAACTTTGGTCACCAAATCACAAAAATGATGTTGAGAGTTTGGAGAAAATTCAGAGAAGAGCAACTAAGATGATCAGAGGCCCGGAGACTAAAACATAGGAAGAAATAGGGGAGACATGATAGCAGTGTTTCAGTATCTGAGGGGCTGCCACAAGGCAGAGGGAGCCAGGTTGTTCACCAAAGCACCAGAGGGAAGGATGAGAAACAATGGTTGGAAACTGATCAAAGAGAGAAGCAATCTAGAATTAAGGAGAAACTTCCTGACAGTGAGGACAATTAACCAGTGGAACAGCTTGCCTCCAGGGTCCCTTCCAGCTCTATTCTATTTTAAATGTGGGGATGGGATGTGGCAGTCACAACTTCAAAGATGGGACATAGATATGTCTTTTTGGAGACCATTGTAACTTTGAATGGTTGATAAGCAACAGTCATTAAGCGAGGACTACTTGTACTTTCCTTTATTGGCATCACTTGTTATTTCTAATATGTCATGCTTTGGGTTCTAGAGATGAACAAGAATGTGAGTGGCCTTTTCTGTCTTTATACCACTAGGGAGAAGATGCCATTCCATCATGTCACGGCTGGACTGCTGTACAAAGGAAACTATCTGAACCGGACACTCTCAGCAGGAAGCGACAGTGAGCAGTTGGCCAACATCTCAGTGGAAGAATTGGATGGTAAGGATTGACTAAACCAGGGGTAGGCAACCTTGGCTCTTTTATGACTCGTGGACTTCAACTCCCAGAATTCCTGAGCCAGCATGGCTCAGCTTGGAAACCTCTCCCTTCCCCTCAGCATGACTGGCTCAGGAATTCTGGGAGTTGAAGTCCATGAGTCATAAAAGAGCCAAGGTTGCCTACCCCTGGATTAAACTGTTGATAGGGAGAAACAGAGGGTTCTATTTTTATTTATTCTTTTAAATATTTGTTAAGTCTTGAAAACTGATGTAGGAACGACTCAAGCTTAGGGTATGGTGACATGAAATGGTGAGGAAACATCCCTATTGAACAGTTTTGGTGATTTACTTTTTGGAAATGATTTAAAAAAAAAAAACTAGAAGGCTCAAGGCAGTATCCAAAATTAATTACCTGCACACATGGGAGCTTGGTTACCTTAATGAGAAAAGGCTGATGAATAAGACACATATAGCTGATCAATAGATACATAGAGGTAAATTATAGAGATGAATCAGCCATAATAGACACAAAGAGATATCCCATAAACCAGTCATGAACAGACCACATTTATACATCATTAAAAAGAGACAATAGAGGAAACAAAAAGACCAGAAAGCATTATCTCCAGCAAACAACATCCAGATAAGATGAGGTTAACACCAGACAGACAATGAAGTAGAAAACAATAATCAAGGAATTTCCAAGAAGAAAACCACACCTCTCACAAACATTGGTAGGCCAAGCTACTATATATAAACAGGGAGGAAATCCCACATTTATTTAACACTGATGGTGTTATTTAGTTGGATAATGAAATGTCTGCAAGCAAACAACCAAGCTCCGAGAATATCAAGGACTTCATAGTTGATCCCTGAGTATTCCCTTCTGAGGATGATGTTATCTATTCAGCTGTGTCTGACTCTTGGCGGTTCTATAGGCCAGGTCTCTCCACATCTTCCAATCTTGCACTACTTCAGTGCGTTTTTCTATACTCTGTCTGATGTCAGCTTTGATGGTCTCCAGCCACTGTGTTCTTTGGCAACCTGGCTTCCTTTTACTGCTAACTTTTCCAAACATAATTGCTTTCTGCAGTGAATTCCCCTGCATGACATGGCCAAAATAAGAGAGATGAAGTTTTGTGATTTTATATCCCCTTTTATTGGAATCTAATACTGAGGTTTAAACCACCTCAGCCATGTTCCCATTTTGGATTTTTATTATTCCCTTTTTCCAATATTTTTATTTTTCCAGTATTCCCTTGGCAGCTTTTTAGTCCTGCTCTATTGCCGCAATCAAAGAATAGCCTATGGGCTGACCCCAGCTTCCATTTTCTGATTCCTTGACGATTGGGACAACTTTATCCAAATTTAATTTATAAAGAGGCAATTTCTTCAGTGCATTATTTAAGACTTCATGGAATGGATGCTTGCAAGGACCCAAATGGATGGAAGTATTACATTTTAAGCCTTCAGTGCTGATATTTAAAATGGCTGAATCATCTTCCAGGTTACCCCAGAAGAGTGCAATTCTGTACATACAACTTGGCTCCATCACCAGAACATGCCTCTAGTGGCCTTTAGAGACATACATTCAGAAACAAAGACGTACAGGTTGTCCATAATTGAGTCCAAAATTTCTGTTGCCAAGTGAGACAGTTATTAAGTGAGTTTTGACCCATTTTAGGACCTGTCTTGCCAAAGTCATTAAGTGAATCACTGCAGTTGTCAAGCTAGTAACACCGGCTGTTAAGTGAATCTGGCTCCCTCATTGACTTTGCTTGTCAGAAGGTTGTAAAAGGGGATCATGTGACTGCTGGGACACTACAACCATTATAAATATGAGTCAGTTTGCCAAGTATCTAAATTTTGATCTCATGACCATGGGGCAGCTGCAACAGTTGTAAGTACGAAAAATAGTCAGAAGTCCCTTTTTTCAGTGCCGTTGTAACTTCAAAGGGTTACTAACTTCTGTAAGTTGAGGACTACCTGTACATTATGTGGCCAAAACCTGGCTCATCTAAAACAGCCAAAGCTACAGCTCTGAAGATACAGAATAATTTTGTTAACACTATATGCTGGGCGCCCAGCAAAAAACATTAACATTCTGCTAAACAGCTCTGAGCAGAATCAGGCCCTTGGCTCAATACACTGCAAAGGCGAGTTTTGGGGTCCAGCCTGATACAGAGAAAGTCAAGTAGTTGGTGTGATTGTGCCTCTTGCTGCAGAGGAGATGTCTCTCTGTGTTATGCATTCTTAGTTTGTGGAATTTTTATGTTGCAAGCTGCCCAGAGTTACTACTTGTGAGTTAGCCGGCTGTATAAATGTGTTTAATAAATAAATAATAAGACAGAGGTAGACATAGTGGAAGTTATAATGCAGTGTTTCTTAAGGCTGACTAAGACATATGAACTTCAGCTCTCAGAATTCTTGGTGTGGAAGTCCGTACATCTTAGAGTTGTCAAGCTTGAGAAATGCTGTTATAGGATGATGCAGGGATATTTTAAATAAACCCATCTGTGGGACCTTATTATTGTTTATCTTACATTCCAACTAGGTCAGCATGCCAGCCGTAAATATTATGACATATACTTACTTGTATCCCACCTTTATTATATTTACAAATAACTCAAGGTGGCAAACATATCCAACAGACCTACCCCCTCCTATTTTCCCCACAACATCCCTGTGAGGTGGGTTGGGCTGAGAAAGAGTGACTGGACCCAAGTCACCCAGCTGGCTTTCATGGCTAAGGCAGGACTTGAACTCATAGTCTCCTGCTTTCTAGCCTGGTGCCTTAGTCACTAGACTAAACATATCTACATATATACCTATATACCTACATACACAATGTACATACATACATGTCACAGCCTTCAGTCCTTCTACCACTATTGGGACTACTTTGGCCTTTACTTTCCATATCCTCTCTCATTCCTCCTTCAATTCCTGATACTTCCCCAGATTCTCATATTCCTTCTTCCTGATGGTGCAATTGTTTGGTGGCAGTACTGTTGCCTCTTTTGGTCCTTGTCTACTATTATGATGTCGAATGGAACGGAATGGAACAGAACAGAACAGAATAGAATATTGGCCAAGTGTGATTGAACATAAAAGGAATTTGTCTCCGTGCAGAAGCTTTCAGTGTACATACAAACAACAGAGTAATAATAATCATAATAATGATACCAATAAGAGAAGGTAGTAGAAAAGATGAGAAGGATAATAGTACAGTCATACTACATGGATAAATATCCTTAGACGTAATTGATAATTGACACAGATTAGCCAGTACCTAGCTGTCCATCTGGATATGGAAGTCCCACAGTATCTTAGCCTTCTTATTCTCCAGGACCTTCTGTGTAATCTCGCATCTGGATTCGAGGGTCCAACCAATACACTGTGCAGATGTTCCTGTACGCAATGCCAGCTACTTGGTTGTGTTATTCAGTGAATGCTGTTCCAGCCTGCATCTTACACCCTTGCACTGTGTGTTGGACTGTCTCTGAGGCCTCTTGCACAGTCTCCACCCTGGACCCTATCTGGTGTGGTACACCTGTGATTCTATTCATTTGATGCTTAATGCCTGTTCTTGTGATACTAATAGTAATAAAACATATGAGGGAAAGCAGATTTCTGATCCCTGGTTTAGAAACCAAACACGGTACTCCTTCCCATACATTTGATGTTGTATAGTTGCAAATGGTCTTGTAGATTGTCTTAGAACTTATTCTCATAGGGGAAGAAATTATGAATGTCCAGTGAATGCCTTCCCATTATGGGGACAGATATGTGGCAGCTTATTATAAAAGCTGTGAGATTCGGCACACCCCATCCTTTCATCCTTGTTGGTCTTCAGCTTGCTTGTGTGGATGTATTGCTGCACATTCTTTGCACAACACCACACATCTTTTCTGCTAATAGCCTATTTATTCTTCACCTGTTAGACAGCAGACTTCTCGTGGGAATCCCAACACTGTTTTCCTTTTCTAGCACTGTTTTTATTGCAGATCTTCACTTACTGGCAATGTTCCAGTTTTCAGCTAAACTGAGATTTGCTGCTTTTGGGAAACTTTACAATCTGAGGTGAAAAGGAAGAGTTTCACTTAGATAGAAGGAAAGTATCTTGCCCTCAGATTGGGGAAAAAATACCACCCCTTTTAATAATAAACTCTGTCCCCCCTCCCCATGTGTAGGAATGACGTGTGTGTGTGTGTGTGTGTGTAAAACTCAACTGAAAGATTTCTACACAGCTGGGAAAATCTTAAGAGTGAGAGCTGAGGGTACAAATTTTGCTTCTTAAAATCCCCCCCCCCATGAGAATTACTGGCTCAATGATGGGCCCATTTTTGTCCCTTAACAACCCAGAGGGGTTGTATATACTTTTAAGATATATACAATACTGATGGGGGAGGGGAACCTGTGGGTGGCCTATTCTTGCCTTATAGTATACCAAAGTGCAGATAATCTTTGACTTACAACAGTTCATTTAGTGACCATTTCAAGTTACAACAGCACTGAAAAAAGTGACTTATCACTGTTTTTCACACAACCAGCATCCCCATGGCCACATGATCAAAATTCAGACACATTAAGTATTAATACCACTTTAATACCACTTTACAATGCCTTGGTAAGGCCACACTTGGAATACTGCATCCAGTTTTGGTCACCACAATGTAAAAAAGATGTTGAGACTCTAGAGAAAGTACAGAGAAGAGCAACAAAGATGATTAGGGGACTGGAGGCTAAAACATATAAGGAACGGTTGCTGGAATTGGGTATGTCTAGTTTAATGAAGAGATGGATGAGAGGGGACATGATAGCAGTGTTCCAGTATCTCAGGGGTTGTCATAAAGAAGAGGGTCAAGCTATTCTCCAAAGCACCTGAAGGCAGGACAAGAAGCAACGGATGGAAACTAGTCAAGGAGAGAAGCAACCTAGAACTAAGGAGAAACTTCCTGACAGTTAGAACAATTAACCAGTGGAACAACCTGCCTCCAG